AATAACCTTATTTATGTTGAATAATAGAATTCTCATCTGTTTGCAATTAAAAATACAAGATTTGGTACATTTGCTAAATGTTTTTATGGACTCGTAATAGTGCAAATAAGTTGTTGTATGCTGGTGCGAGGCACAATTTCCTCTTACAAAAACAAAATAAATATTATTGTCCAAGTGATATGTAATAAAAAAAAAAAGTCATTCTACGATAAATAGAGTATCTAAATAATGAGACAATCAATAGAATTGTTCAAAAATATAATAGATAATTAAACTTTATAGTTGAAGTGTACACAAAAATAGACAGGCTACCTTAGTTAGAGTAATTAATTAATAAAACAACATATATTATAATTATTCAATAAAATACATCATACTGTAATTGGTCTACTATAAAAATTGATATATGAGACATATGAGGAATACAAAATGATATTTTCCAATGCAAGTGAAAATAAACTTGTCCAGATAGTAAGAAAAAGAAGTATACTTTATCTTTAAGTTAAAAGAAGTATACTTTATCCTTAAGTTTATTCAGACAAGTAGATATTTGATCCCTATGCATTAGAATGATCTTTGCTATTTTTACTTAGTTTTATCTATGTCATCAAAACTTAGTAAAAGTGAACCAAAAGTATTGTTGATGATGTTAATCTTTGAATTTTTTTTATTTTATTTTTATTTTTTTATTTTTTATTTTTAATGTGTGATGGAGTAATATTGTATTTCAGTTTTTAGCAAATGCTACTTAGATGGGTGATAAATAATACGCCAAGAAAAGGAGGCAAAACAAGAATCAAATATAAAAGGGAAAGAGAAAAGAAATAATAGCTTTACCACAAATTGAAGAGCAAAGAACAAAAGTGGAAATGATTCCCAAAGTAGGGTCGAAAGGATAGGCAATATAATACAACATATGGCCTAATCATCTCTTAAAACTACTTTAATTCCAAAACTCTCTCTAAATCATCATTAGTAGCAACATCACACACCTCAAGCCTATCTGAACTCCAGTACAAAACCCTTTCACCTGCATTTTACCACACAACAAATTAATAATAAGAAACTCAATAAAAAAACGCAACTCAATAAAAAACACAACTAATTTTTCTATAATTCATTGGTACACATTTGTGATTATATGGTCCTAGTTAAAAATTTATACTGAAATTTTTTAAAAATAAGTTATTAACTTTAAAATATATCTATAGTTTAAGTTAGTTAAATGTTTTAAAATTTTAAAAGTGTATGAATAAAATTATCTTGCATCCATATATTGCACGATGATAATTAAAAATTCATAACTAAATTTAATAGTACAAACTTTGAGTATTATTTATATTATCGCAATTTCTTCAGTCATACTCTATGATAATTTTTAACTCATATTAATTTAATAGATAAATTTATCTAATTGATATATAATATTATTATTTTTAATTAATATTAATATATAATTTAATTTGTATATAAAGACAAACATACATATTTATTTATATATGCATTATGCAATATGAGTGTTGGACGATTAATTTGATAATTACATATTAAACTCTGATAATTAATGCGAAAGTTATTAACTTCTAAAATATAGTTGTAATATAAGTATGTCAATTGAATTATAATTTTAAAACGATAGAAGTCCAAGTTTACTATTACTACCTAAAACCAAACATATAGCTAAAATTACTAAAGCACAAAAAATCCAGTAATCCACACATAAAACACCATACTCGACACATAAAATCGAAAGATTCTCCGTCAATATATCTACCTACACATCTATATATATATAATTGCTAGCTAACCTCATTTAATAAAACATTTAATAAAAACATTTTCATTTTCCCTCCAAAAGAAGTTACATTTTTTTAATTAATTACTCATTAATCTCACATTTAAGAAGGTTTCTTTTAGTTAAACTTAATTACTTAATAACTAAATTAAAAAAGTTTCTTTTAGTTAATCCCACATTTATATTTCTTATTCTCATTTATATATATAAACGTGATAGTCATTATTGTTGTGCAGAAACTATATATTATTATTTTTTATTTCATTATGAATTGAATAAGCAATTAAAGTTATAAGAAATATTAACAAATGTATATTAATTACAAACATTATAATACATATCATGTTACATTACAATATAAAAAATGAAATTATTTTTTTTGTAATTTAATTTCCAGCCATACTCAATCAAACATATAACTACAAAAATGATAAGAAAAAATAGTTTCATAATAAAAATTAAAAATTTAGCTCCCAAAATGGTAAAACCTTATAAATTAGTAGTATAGATACATTTAAATGACATATAATTTATAAACTTAGACTATACGCATAATAAGATGAATTGAAAAAAAAATTAATGAATTAAATAAATAAATTATTATTATAACACAGTCTATATAATCATTTAAAAAGTTCATTGAAAAAACATATGTATAAAATAAATTCATATGATCATAATTAATAGTGCAAAATTAACTATCTTTGACTTTCTATTTGGTAGTAATAATAAAATATTTTATATTACTACTATTCAATAAAATGCATGATTTCTGCATATTTGATTATCGCAATCAACATTCTTTTTTTATAAATTAAAAAGTGTGTTGAATAAATTGTCTCATATTTTTCATTAAAAAAAATAACTGTTGGCCGTGAAAAAAAAATATTATTTCACAATTATAAATATAAATATGATTAATTTTCATTAAACAATTTCTCTTTAAGAAAAAAGTGGCGGGACAAATTTCTGCATGATTATAGCATCAAAACATATCCAAAACATAAATATTTTAATGCATTAAAAACATATTTTCAGCAACAGAAAAGTCATATTAAACGGAAATTGGCAAAGTCAAAGAATGAGAATTGACAAGGCATTGTATGTAATGGCAGATTGTTGCATAATATAGAAATATCAAGCATAATTAATAATCAACAAAAAAAAAGTCAAATCTATATGAAAAAATCAAAATTAAAAACACAGCAAATTATGTGGAACATTATTGAACACTATACAATATAGAAAGAAAAATAATTTGATTTCCCTATCATTATCAATACATTCAACTTTTACCAAGACATCTGCCTTTATATTAAAATCGATTTTTTTGCGTAAAAGTTTTAAAAATAAAAATTCCTACAGATTCTTTTAAACATTAAACAAGAAATTCCTAATATGCGATAAATATATCTGAACAGATTTGTTATAAACTTACCTAATATTTCCAAATTTTGAACAAAATATTAAAAAATTTGAAAAACTTCGGCAAAAGACTTTGAACAACTTCGAAAAGCGATTTTGAACAAGTGTTAGCAAAGCTTCACTTACTGATATGATGAGAAAGACGACAAATAATTGAACTATTTAGTTTTCAAAATCTGAACAAAATACATAAAAGTTACATATGTATATTATAAACAGATATGAACATATATGTTATAAACTTACCTATATATTTGTTAGTAGAGTTGAACAGAACTGTTAAAAACTTACATATTTTTTCAAACCTTGAACAAAATACATAAAAGTTTGAAAAAGTTCGACCAATGTCATGTTCTCTTCGAAAAACGATTTTGCAAAGCATCTAAATAATTTCGAATTATGTATAAAATATGATATATCATGAAGCTTATTCACAAAGAATTTCGAAAAACGGCACAGATCATTGAAAATAATAAAAAATAAAAACTACTTTTAACAAAAAATATTTCAGCTCATCATAGATTTGTAATATTATCGCCCGATTTTGACCGATTTGTTAAGATATAGCAACACAGATTAAGAAATCGAGACGAATATTTTATTTTTCGATCACTATTGTTGGTCACAAAAACAACATTTATCGGATGTCTTTTTATTTTTTATTTTTTAAGCCTTTACCGGGAGAAAATCTCCGGTAAAACAGTTGTTTTGTATTGAATCTCGCCGAGTTTGTCGTAATATCGGGTTAAGGATTAGGGTTTCAGACAGAGTGAATAACGAGAGAAGCGCCGACATCAAACAAAACTCTCAAGTATCTCTATTTATAGTCATGTTATCATTGACCTGTTTTATATTTGATTTTGGCTAATCTAAAAAATTAAGTAGACTTCTAATTTGGACTTTTTTTTATCATTCAATCAATATATTTCTTTATGGCCCAAAAATTGTCATGTTCAAATGTCTTAAATATTTGGCACATATTTATTTTGTAATATTTTGCTGGTAATTTTTTAGTGTTTTCATTTTAAAATTTCCTGTATGATCTATAGTACAAAATACAATAATTATTTAAACAATTAAAACCATTATATGTCTTAATTTGAAGATATGATTCGTAGTGATGGAAATTCTATTGATAGAAAAACCACAAACGTTGTATATAAAGAATTGTTTAATAATATTTAGTTATTATTTCTTAGAACATTTTTTCAATGATTATATTATAATTTTTACTATTGTTTATATATTTTTATTATTTTTTGTTCTATTATATTGTTTTCCGTGCAAATGCACAGGTTAAAAACTAGTTATTGTATAAAAGGAATAATTTTTATTTTTTTTTGATAATATATAAAAGGAATCATTAATGCGTCGATATATATAAAAAATCTGTCACGTGTACCATAATTCATCAGGTTTGTGTTGTGAAATAAATAAATATATGCTCTCACAAAGGATATCAAATGTCCAGAATTCATCAGTTACAACTTACATGCATGACATTCAATGCAGCAGTGAAACTGTCGTGGCACCATAAAAAACCTTTGTAAACGTGTTAAATTTTTTATTTTTTTTCCATATTATAATTACATTAAATTAAAATTAACGAGATTTACATTTACATATTCTTTATATTAATCAATAATCATTATATCCAATTTTAATAACGTAGTATTATTCTCAATTTATATCCAACATAAACTGGTTTATAATTTATTTGGTTATTTTTTCAGTCCTTTTTTAATTTATATAAACAATTACGATAAATCTTTAGCTAATTCTAAGGAATAAGTACCTGTTCAGAGTGCCGATTGCCGGACGTTGACGGTGGACGAAACGTGGCCGAGTCAACTTCGCCCGTCGGCAGAGGCACAGCCGGGCTGCTGTTGATGAACGGCACGCCTTCTTTCTCCGGCGACGAGGGCCCACCCGCCGCCATCGACAAACCCGGCGCGGGTCCCGGTGACGTGCCCTCCCTGGGCTGAGACGGCCAGGGGAACGCCGGAGACGACGCTACGGTGCCTCCGGAGGTGGGAGGCGGGGCCGATTCCGGCGGCGGGGCGGGATAGACCTCGACGGCGAGCTTCCGGCCTTGCAGGCAGGCGTCGCTGGAGCCGTTGTTGAAGGAGAAGTAGAAGAAGCCAGGCCGTGAAATGTGCCACTTTAAAGGTTTTTAAGGTATGCGTTGAGTGCCCGATAGGTGTTTGATAAAATTCCCGTAAGAAAAATTGAATAGAGAAATAGCAGTAAAAATATTTATATCTGGCTTGGCTGTATATAGTTCAAATTTTGGTTTTTTTTCTACTCAAGTTGGGAACTTTGGAGTGGTAATGTGCTTTTGCATTGGAAACTGTTGACAATTTCAGTTTTGGGCAAGAAATTAGGCCATAAAAATGTGTTTCCTAAACTTTTCGAATATCTTTAAAAAATACACATTCAAAATAAACTATACGAGTCATAAATAAAAAGGCAATGTAGAAATTAATTGTAAAGATAAATCACAAATCAACCTTTCAATAATACTGAGAGTTAGTATATTTGCAACTAAAACACAAAAGCTTCATAAATGTGCAAATTGCTTTATCTTCTCAAGGGATTATCAGTAAAAAGGCTGAACACACACATGCACAATCATTCAAAATATGTAACTTACTGTATAAACTGTGGAGTTGGGCTTTGTCAAAATTGTAGCTTGAGTGAAGTTGCAGACAGAAAAAGCAATCTTGTTCTTGAAAATGTAGAGGTTGTAGTGATACTTGTGCTGGAAAACTGCAGGGGAAAAAAGGGAAGTAAGAAAAAACACCAAAAAATTAAAATTATAGATTAAATTTGTTATGTTTACTATTTTTTTCCCCACTATCATCCTCTAATATCACAAGATTTGCTGTATGTGGAGAAAAAAAGGGGGAACTTACTGACAGTGTCTCCTATGTGAGCCTGAGGATTTTTCCATTGTGAAACGCCATCCACCACAATTGTAGAAGCCTGAGAGAACTGAAATTGTGGTAGAGTGACAAGGGAAAAGAGGATAATCAACATGTAGTTAAACTTAAATCCCATGAATTCTGATTTTTATTGATATTTTGCTTGGTGAAAGAAGAAGAAGAAAAAAAAAAATGTGAAATTTGGAATAAGTCTTGAGTGACTAGAGAGCACTGGGAGAAATTTGTAGGGGTGATTTAAATGTGCGTGTGTGTGTGTGTGTTTTAGAGAGTTGTCAGAAGTGTTTGGCTTTTTTACAGAACAGATGTAAAGAATGCTGGACAGAGGAGAGAATGGGACATGGGAGAATGTGTAATTATGACC